CGCGGAGGCGGATGGCATCGTCTTGTCGCTGGGCTCGGAGGCCGCCCAGGATGCAGCTGCGACGCGGGTGCCGGCGCTTGCCGCCGGGGACGCCGACGATGTGGCGGGCGATGTGGCCGTGCAGCGCCGGATGGACGAGCTCGTGGATGAGCTCATCGCCGCTGCGGAGTCCGAGGAGGATGCGCGGGAGCCGGCAGGAGCAGAGAGCAGAGCATGGCAGCACCTCAGAGTCGGTGTGTGATGGCAATTGCTCAGTTGTTCGGATTTCTTCTCAGGGTGAGTCATGATGATGATGATGACGATGATGACGATATGGTGATGGTGATGATCGTGCTGATGCTGATGCTGATGCTGATGCTGCTGACGATGGTGATGTTGGTGATGATGCTTTTGATGAAAATGAGGAGGATGAGGAGGAGGATGCAGATGAGGATGGTGATGATGATGAGGATGATGATGAGGACGACGACGATGCTGATGATTCATATCATTCAGATGATGATGCTTATGGCGATGATGATCAGGCTCCAAATGATGACGATGATGCTGGTGACGATGAGGAGGAAGACGACGATGATGGTGACGACGAGGATGTTGCTGCTGCTGCTGCTGATGATGATGATGATGATGATGATGATGACGATGCTGTTTATGCTGATGATGATGGTGATGGTAATGGTAATGATGATGCTGATGATGATTCTGATGATGGTGATGATGCTGCTGATGATGATGATGATGATGATGATGAGGATGAGGATGAGGATGAGGATGATGATGATGATGATGATGATGATGATGATGATGATGATGATGATGATGGCGACGATGATGACGATGACGATGGTGATGGCGGCAATTGTGATGCTGTTGACGAGCATCGCGATATCACATTGAATCGAGCTTTTGGTAGTGTGACGCTGGAAGTCTTGATGGTGGTGATTACGACGATGATGGTAATGACTTTGATAATGACGATGATGGTAATAATGATTTTAGGATAAGGATGAGGGGGAGGAGGCTGCCGCCGTCGACGACGACGACGACGACCAGGACGACGGTGACGAAGACTATGACGATGACGACGACGACGGCGACGACGACGACGACGGCGCCACCGACCGACGCAGCGGCCCCGCCCGCGCGGCAGGCAGCGGCCACCTCGAGGCGGACGGCAGGGGCGAGGCGCCGGTGCCGCTCATGGTGGCGGTCACCGCCAACCACGCGGACGCTGAAGGCTTCAAACAGGCGATTCAGGACGGCCGCGCCCGCCGCGCCCGCCGCGCCAGACGATGAGCGCGGCCCGCGCTCATCGGCTGGCGCGCTCGGCGTCCGTCGCGCTCGACGCGCCTGCGGAGCTCGGCGCGCTGGGTGCGCACCGGCGCTCTCAACTCGTTCGGGCCGTCGTCGTCGTTGTCGTCGTCGTCGTCGTCGTCGTCGTCGTCGTCGTCGTGGTTCTGGCCGCCGCCGCCGCCGCCGTCTTCATCGTCGTCGTCGTCGTCGTCGTTGCCGTCGTCGGGAGATGTAGGAGGTGGAGGGGGAGGCGGGGAGAAGAAGAGGAGGATGAGTGGGTGGAGGACGAGGAGAATGAAGGGTGGTGCAGACCCTTGAGCCATTTTGGCTGGAGGAGGACCCTTGCAGACCCTTGAGCCATTTTGGCTCAAGGGTCTGCAAGGGTCTGCAAGGGTCTGCATACTGTACCATCCCGGATCCTAACCAATCGAAGCAACAGTCCCCATGGGTGATCAGTCCGAGCTTCTGAACCAGATCCGGGGCATGTTCGATGAAAAGGTGAATCATTTGATCGATGCAGTCAATGAAAGGATCAAGAATAACGAGGTTAGGACAGAAGCAGCACATACTGGACTGGACGATCACGAAGCTCGCCTCCAGCGTCTGGAATTGGAAGGATCGGGGCCTAGTGCATTCGTCCCCAAACTGATCGAGTTCAAAGGGTTCTGTGGTTTCAAGGTCCGCAAGTCGGAAGGGGTGACCAGGGCCGAAGCGGAGGGTCTGATCGAGAAGTTATCCCCATTCTTGCCTGAGTCCTTGAAAGAGAAACTGGGCCCAGTACACCCCCGGGGATCCAAGTGCCACAAGTTCAGCATCGACGTAGCCCCAGGACATGCTGGGGAGATTTCCGCCATCTTCAAAGACGCCCTCCAAGATCCTGCTTTCGCTCGGAATGGAAAGACCCTCTATACCACCGCGGAGCGGCCGCCAGAGCTCCAAAAGCTTTATGCTGTTGGGGGGAAGGCGAGGGCATTCTTACGCAGCAAACTGCGAAGGGCAGGATGGATGGCAGAGTGTTCCTGGGAGCCGGAGGGGCAACTTACGATCGCCAATGAGCAAGTGAACGCAGTCATCGGGGTCGTGAGCTGAAACAGGACGATAGCCTGGGATGATGAAGCGTGCCGGAAGCATCTCCAGTCGCAGGCGTCCCTAGTACAGCAGGCTTTCGCCAATTCTAAGGACTGAAGTGGCGTGGGGGAGCGCCTAGAAGTTTATTCAATGCAAATATTTATCCGTAAGGGCTTCGCCCCATGCCGCCGGCCCCCTGTCTCGGATAATGGGAGATGCAAAAGCTAAATCATGAGGTCTGGGCGCCGCCGTGAAGCAGTGTCGGGATCTGTTTGTTTTTTTGACCCTGACCCTACGGATCTGCATCACGGGTGCCACCGAATTTCAGAAGTGTGGCAAATCCCTTGTGTTTTTGGACCCTGACCCTGCCGATCTGCGTGAGGGGTGCCACCGAATTGTAGAAATGCGGCAAATCCCATGTATTTTTGGACCCTGACCCTGCCGATCTGCGTGAGGGGTGCCAGCGAATTTCAGAAATATGGCAAATCCCTTGTGTCTTTGGACCCTGACCCTGCCGATCTGCGTGAGGGGTGCCACCGGATTTCAGACGTTCGTTGTGTTTTTGCACTCTGACCCTGCCGATCTGCGTGACAGGTGCCACCGAATTTCAAACATGTGGCGAATCCCATGTGTTTTTGGACCCTGGCTCCGCCGATCTGCGTGAGGGGTGCCAGCGAGTTTCAGAAATGGGACAAATCCCATGTGTTTTTGCACCCTGACCCCGCCGATCTGCGTGAGGGGTGCCAGCAAATTCCAGAAATGTGGCAAATCCCATATGTTTTTGGACCCTGACCCCGCCGCTCTGCATGAGGGGTGCCAGCAAATTTCAGAAATGTAGCAAATTCCATATGTTTTTGGACCCTGACCCCGCCGATCTGCGTGAGGGGTGCCATCGAATGTCAGACATGTGGCAAATCCCATGTGTTTTTTGGACCCTGACCCCGCCGGTCTGCGTGATGGGTGTCAGTTTTTACCAACCCCAGCAATTCAGAGCACACGCTCAGGGCGACAAATGCCCATTTTGGGCCGCCCCACCTCGCGCGGTCCATCAACAAGGGACAGTAAGCAGCAAGAAGTCAACAAGGAACAGTAAGCAGCAAGAAGCAGAACTGTAACAGTGGAAACTGGCAGCTGCAACTGGTACAGGAAACTGCGAACCTTAGGCCTACAGCCTGGTGGCCCAACAAGGGGGCCAGCGGATTTGGAACACTTGCAAGAAAAGCCGCTCGACGATTTCAAAGTTTTCAAGGGGTATCCGAGGGCTTTATGGGGACACCGCAGTTCTCCTTCAAAAGGTTCCTGCTTGGGGTGCTAGTGCAGGTTTTGTCTACCACAACCACGTCGTCATGTGCAGGGAGGGTTCGGACTGCGGCTTCTTGATCCCTAGACCTTGGGTTCTGGCCGTGAGAGGTGAAAATTACAGCACATATCTTAGACCATTTTGTGTCAGATGGGAGGGGGGAGCAAGTAATTCATGAGTCCCTGGAATACGTGCACAACGTGCGGCGCACTCTGCCCTGAGGTCCTTTTGATACTATTTTGGGTGTCGATGCGAATGTCTTTTTATTCGCAGGATGTGAAGCTATCACTGGTCACCGTGTTCTCCGACCTGCCTCATCTCACACTCCAGCTATGATCCAGGTCGTCTTGGGGTGGTTCGAGGTGTTAGGGGTGCGGGCACTTGAATAAATTCGGGCAACCAGGGGAAGCTGAAGACAGTGGGGATCCAGCCTGCTTATGGACGTGCGGCAGGCGCCGGGCCCTGGCCAGACGCACCCAAATAGATTTCGGTGCTGTCTCCGATGGGGTCCATGGACGCGTTTCTTTGAGTTCTATTGGGGACTAACCGCTCCGATCATCGACCTCTTGCGATTTGAAATAGGGGATTCAGAGGGGCATATGTATAGCGAGCATAGCGAGCGTGCCGCCCGTGTCTGGCTCAAATTGCCAGCACCCAATTTGCCTGGACCGCTAGTGGAACTTGCGGCCCACTATAGCATTGGAAGAGGGACTTGATCACGCCTTTGGAAGATGCACCATCTTACACCATATCCCAAACCTCTTACTGCGTGGTCCCTATCCTGCTTTGTACTTGGTAGCGGAGCTGGCCCCACTAAGTTGTGGTCAGCTCTGTTTATCGCAATACTTATCCACGGCACGGCTTGGCATGCCGCCGACACCACTGCGACGTCAGAGCGTGACTACTGGCAAGCAGGCGGAAACGCCCTTGGCGGACACGCTATATCCACCATGGGCGACATCCGTCTGACCACTCCGAAGAGCGTATACGCCGCGGCCTTTACGCCATTTTACTCCAACGTGCGATGGGTTTGGGAACAAGTTAAGGTACCAACTTCAATTTCGCGGAAGCGCGAACCCCATACTCTTGAACCAGCATTGGGACGCACCTCCACAGCCAATTCGCCGCCTAACGGTGGTAAACGCACCGAAGACTACCAACAACGACGTCCAAGACGTCTCGTATAATTCCGATTTGAAGTCTGTAACTTTCAGCATTCTTTGGTCAGTCGTCGCGTGTGCTATAGGTTACATGCAACGTGGCAACAACAACGATGAAGGCGATCATGCGACAAGGGGCCCATTCCGGACCCCTCAGGGAACGTATCGTTCCTCGAGTTTACTCGTGAAGTACATGCTTGGCTAAACGTTGCGAGCGTCCGCATTACCCAACAACAGCAAGCTGCATGCTCGCAGCGTGGTCTGGGCGGGGTAGCACGCACCATTGCGATGCGAATCCCTCCCGAGATCATTAACTACGGCGTGGCGATACAAGGCGTCCATGCGGACCACGTTGCGTACATAATGCTTCAGCCTCTCAACGGTCAGATGCCGCGGACCCAACAACAATGCGATGGTGTATTGGACCGTGTGCGCAGCACTGGGCATCTGGCGAAACGTGTTCCCGGCAATCGTGGAAACGTGTTACTGGGAAACACAGGGCGCGGAAACGCGAATCCATGCATGACAAATGCTGGCGGAGACGCGGCCGCGCCCAGTAACATATGGGCAGGCGATTCCAATTCAGAGGAGGCCACTGCACTCCAAGCGACCACCCCTCAGGGTCCTGGAACTAGCAAAGGCTATTCAACGTCATCAGCACAACATGGCTGGGAACAGCCCTCTAACCCTCAATCGTACACGGCTCCTGAGAGCCAGGCTGCCTTCTGGGGCCAATCCTCCAATGGAGATTCGCCCATCGACTCTGGAACAGATGCTGACGCGTAATCATCCAATGGATCTGAATGGGTAGATGTGTCAGATTTGCCCCACGGTATAGATGACGCGGAGACCTCTGAATATTTATTCCGAGGCTACATACACGCAAAGCGCCGCTGGAGGCGGTTCTTAACAAAAAGCGCGCAAGGCATGTGCGTAGGGTATTGCGGACAGTGTTTCGCCGACGGGTGAAAGGGTCGTGGAAAAGGGTGGTCGTCGCAACCCGACGGTCACACGGAAAAGTCTTCGCCACGTTTATGGCCGAATTTTCCGAAGCTGAATTTGAAGAAATCTTGCAGGCCAGTGGTCGAGGTAGACGCCATTCCACGGGAAGCCCTATAGCCCCATAGCTCTATATGCTTATAGCCCTATAGCCCTGTAGCCCTGTAGCCCCATAGCCGTATATCCCTATAGCCCTATAGCTCTATGGTCCTATAACCCTATTGCCCCATAGCCCTATATATTCATGGCGCTATGGCCGTAGAGCCCTATAGCCCCATAACCCCATAGCCCCAAAACCCCATAGCCCCCTAGCCCTATAGCCCTGCAGCCCTATAGCCATATGGCCGTATAGCCCTATAGACCTGCCGCCCTACAAACCTATAGCCCTATGGCCCTAGAGCCCTATAGTTCCACAACCCTATCGCCCCATAGTTCCATCGCCCTGTAACCCAATAGCCCCGTAGCCTTATAGCCCTCAAAAGAGTTTGATTCGGTTTTCTCCAGTATCATGTATTTAACTGATGCGTGCGTCAGCTAATATGAAGAACCTGAAAAGGGGTATGATCATATGGTTCAACGATGTGGCCAGAAAAGAAGCTCATTTTTGAAAAAGATTCCGCGTCCTTCCGCACATTTGTCGCATCTGCTCAAGTTTTGGGTTTTTTCGTCTGAGAGAGTCTCAGGCGAATGCCCTTTTTTGAAAAGGGTCCGTCCTCCATCCGTGTGGCTGTTGAGAGCGTTTCAGACCAACGAGCGCGGCTCTAAGGCGAGAGGGCGGGCTCGTCATTTCGACCAGGAACCGCCCTTCGTCCTTGCAGCTGCAGCGATCGTTAATGCGAATATGGTGGGTACGTATGTGAGAGCCCCGTTTCGGAAGCCACCCTCTCCATCCTTCTTTGCAACTGTTGCGTGAGAGCCTTGTTTTTTTTGTTTGTGAAAACGGCCGGCGCTCCACCCACGTAACTGTTGCGGGCTTTCCGACGGATGTGCGGGGCGCTGGGGCGAGTGCCGTGTTGTGAAGACCGCCCAGCTCCATCCGTGCAACCGTTGCAGACTTCAAGCTTCAGGATCACAAGTGGTGATGAAGTCTCAGGCGAAACGCCCAGCCCGCACTGCCGACACGTCTGGGGGAAGTATCTAAGGGAAAGGGAATGAGTAGAAAGAAGAGGAGGAGGGGGATGAAGGATGAGGATGAGGATGAAGACGATGACGATGACGATGACGATGATGACGGTGATACTGCTGCTGATGATGAGGATGCTGATGGTGATGATGATGCTGATGATGATGCTGATGCTGATGCTGATGTTGATGATGGTGATGATGATGACGATGCATCTGATGATGATGACGATGGCGATGACGATGGTGCTGCTGCTGCTGCTGATGATGATGATGATGGTGATTGTGATGATGCTGAGGGGAGTAGTCGTTCCTGGGAAGTTTAGCTGCCGCCCTAGATTCTTACCCCAGAGGTTCCCGGAGGTTTCTGAAGGCCCGAGCGTGGCCGAAAGCGTTCGAAAACCTCCCCCTCGACCCTCCTCCCCTCGCCTCCTCCCCCTCCCTTGGCCGTCGAAAGCAAAAAGCGGCGCCAAGATGACGCTCGCGCGGTTGCGGGAGGTGAGCGACAAGTATCGGCTGTTCTGCCAGAATAAGGGCTTGCCGCCCCCCTCGTCGCAGGAGTGCTCTGGGCCAGGGAATGGGATAATTTAGGAGGATGGAAGGAGAGAGGAGGGATTATGATGATGAAGGGGAGGAGGAGGTGGAGGAGAAGGGGGAGACGAAGGTGGATGATGATGACGAGGATGATGATGATGATGATGATGATGATGATGATGATGATGATGATGATGATGATGAGGATGATGTTGGAAGATGAGGAGGAGGATGAGGAGGAAACGGAGGAGGAGGAGGGGAGGAGGAGGAGGAGGAGGAGGAGGAGGAGGAGGGATGATGATGCTGATGGTGATGATGATTATCATGATCATGGTGATGATTATTATGATGATGATGATGATGATGCTGCTGTTGCTGAGCACGATTATGATGATGATGGTGAGGATGGTCATGGTGATGGTGATGATGATGACGATGCTGCTGCTGATGATGATGACGACGGTAATGACGATGATGATAAAGAAGATGATGATGATGATGACGATGATGATGATGACGATGATGATGATGATGATGATGATGATGATGATGATGATGGGTGATGCTGGTAATGTCAAAGAAGAGGAGGAGGAGCCGGATGAAGAGGAGGTAAGGATGAGGAGGGGAAGGGATGTTGATGATGAAGAGGAGGTAAGATGAGGAGGATTCGGAGGAGGAGAAGGAGGAAGCAGGGAAGATGATGCTGATGATGACGATGATGCTGATGCTGCTGATGATGATGCTGATATGATGCTGCTGCTGGTGATGATGCTGATGATGATGATGATGATGGGGCTGATGCTGCTGTTGTTGTTGGTGGTGATAACGATGCTGATGAGGATGCTGATGAGGACGCGGATGATGGTGATGATGATGTTGGTGATGATGATCATGGTGCTGATGTTAATGGTGATCATGACGATACTGATAATGATGATGATAATGATAATGATGCTGATGATGATGACGATGATGATGATGAGGATGATGATGATGATGATGATGATGATGATGCTGGCGATGATGCTGATGATGATGGTGATGATGCTGCGGCTGATGATGATTATGATGATTATGATTAGGATGTTGCTGGTTATTCTCATGATGATGATGATGATAATGAGGGTGATGCCGCTGATAATGATGTTGCTGACGATGGTGATGATGATGAGGAGGAGGCGGATTAGGAGGAGCGACGAGGGACAGATGCTGCTGTTGATGATGGCTATCATGATGATGATGATGCTGATTCTCATTCTGATGCGGCTGATGATGACGATGATGGTGATGATGATGGTGATGGTGATGGTGATGATGATGATGGTGGTGATGATAATAATCATGACAAAGCTGAGGATGATGATGAGGAGAATGGGAAGAAGGAAGAGTAGGAGGAGGTGATGGACGAGGGGGAGGAGGAGGAGGAGGAGGAGCAGGAGGAGGAGGACGAGGAGGGAGGAGGAGGAGGAAGAGGAAGAGGATTAGGAGGAGAAGGAGGAAGTGGATGAGGAGGAGGAGGAGGGAGATGATACTGATAATACTGATGACGATGATGCTGCTGCTGATGATGCTGTTGATGATGATGGTGCTGATGATCATGATGATGCTGATGACGATGCTTATGATTATGATGATGATGACGATTATGATTCTGAGGATGCTGATGATGATGATGGTGATGCTGATGATGATGATGCTGATGATGATGGTGGTGGTGGTGATGCCGATGTAGATGATGGTGGTGATGATGGTGTTGGTGGTAGTTCTGCTGATGCTGATGATGGTGCTGATGTTGATGCTCACGACGATGTTGATGCTTAAGAGTATGACGATGATGGTGATGCTGCTGATGATGTTGATGATGATGATGATGCTCATGATGATGCTTATGCTGATAATGTCGATGATGATGATGATGATGATGATGATGATGATGATGATGACACTGCATATGCTGCTGTGACTGATGATGATGAAGAAGAAGACGAGGATGACGAGGATGCGGATGCTGATGATGATGATGAGGACGATGAGGATGACGATGATGATGATGATGACGCTGCTGTCGCTGATGATGACAAAGTCGATGCAGATACGGATGATGATGATGAGGTTGATGATGATGCTGATGATGCTGATGCTAGTGATGATAATGATGATGATGATGCTGATGGTGCTGATGATGATGATGCTGACGAACAACGACGGCGACGACAGGACGATGGATGATGATGATGATGCTGATGCTAAGATGATGTGATGATGATGCTGATGCTGCTGCTGATGATGATGATGATGATGCTGGTGAGGATGATAATGATGGGGATGCTGATTCGGATGATGCGGATGATGCGGATGGGGATGATGATGCGGAGGCTGATGATGCTGATGAAGCTGGTGATGGTGACGATGATGATGATGGTGACGATGATGGTGACGGTGGTGGTGATGGTGGTGGTGATGATGATGATGATGATGAGGATAATGATGATGCTGATGCTGATTATGGTGATGATGATGGTGATGATGCCAATGGTGCTGATGATGACGATGATGATGATACTGACGATGATGATAATTATGATGATGATGGTGATGGCGATGATGAGATGATGATGATATGGTGGTGGCCGATGACTGCTGATTGATGATGATGACGACGATGCTGATGACGACGATGATGATGATGATGACTCTGATTCTGATGCTGATGACGAGGATGAGGATGATGATGGCGGTGGTGGAGATGATCATACTGATGATGATGTTGATGATGATGATGATGATGACGATGCTGCTGATGATGATGATGATAATCATGATGATGATGATGATGATGATGATGATGGTGATGATGATGATGATGATGATGATGATGATGATGATGATGATGATGATACTGATGATGATGATGATGATGATGATGATGATGATGATGATGATGATGATGATGATGGTGGTGGTGGTGGTGGTGGTGATGATGATGATGATGATGATGATGATGGGAAGAGGAGGAGGAGAAGGAGGAGGAAGAGGAGGAGAAGGAGGAGGAGGAGCAGGAGGAGGAGGTGGAGGAGACGGAGGAGGAGGATGAGGAGAAGGAGGAGGCGGCGGAGGAGGAGGAGGAGAATTCGTTGGATTTCGCTGGTATCCACGGGGTGACAGCGAACTCAGCGATCCTCGATCAGTACGCCAGGCGGCGGGCCACGGAGGACGGCCTCGCGCCTGACAGTGCCCAGCTCACGGGCCTGGGCCGTCTTGGACGGCCCCGCGTGATTGGGAAAACGCCCCTTCTGAATTCGCTGAAGGTTTTCTGTACCCTTCTTGGTGCAGGCCTTGCACTCGGCAACTATCTGACGTGGGTCCTCCGTGGCCGTTTTACCGCACGCCAAACACACATGCAGCCCAAATTTGGGCCAGACATGCAGCACATGCGAGGAGTGACAAACCTTCCCCCCTACGGTGGCCGCCCCACAGGCCCGCACCACCCCATGATCGGCAGGACTCGAAAGGTCCTGGCTAGCAGCATGACGCGGAGTAGCTGCAAATTCAACAATGTTATGCGCGGGTGTAACTTGGTGACACAACGAGCACAGCCACTCACGCTCGGCCCTGACCAAACAGTGCTCGCTCCGAAGCAAGGCCTCGGTGAGGCCCCCAACGCGACGGGCCTCGGGAGGCCGCTCGGCGGACCAGGAGGCGACACTGACGGAGTTCACCATGGCCTTGGCCGCGCGGCGCCTAACCAGCGCCGCCGTGCAATCCCACAGATCCGTGTCGGGGGGCCGTTGGCCCTGAAGGCCACGGGTCCAGGAAAAATTGGCCGCGTCCCCCGCCAGAGTGTCGGTGAAGCCGTTGCCCGTGGCATACAACCGCTCCTGAGAGGAGAGGGCGGGGTCCTCGGGGTCGACGTGCGACGGGTCCCACACAACTTGGATTTCGGCCTCTCCTCTCTCAGCCAGCGCGGCTCGGACACGAAACCAGAGGTCAGCGCTAGGGCCTTTACACAACTCGTGCCTTCTGGGAAGCCACCCACGAAGTTGGGCCGCGTTGTCCGTGACAAACCGCATCGGGCCAGGGTAACTGCGAAGCGCGAGTTCAAACGCGCGGATCTCGGCTCTGGGCACTGTTTGACGGCGACCTCCAAGGGTTGTGGCAAAGCCGCGGATCCGAATCCAGCCCCCAGAGGCTGGCGTCAGAGTTTTCGCGGCCGCGCCCACTCTTCGGCGACGAGGATCGCTGCTAAACTGCCCGCCAGAGCCATCACCAAAGACAAGAATAAGGCCGTCCTCTCTGCAATGGAGATCGGCTCCGTGCGTATCTCCCGCCCCCCAATCCGCGTCGCCCCCCCTCCCCGAAAGTTAGGGCACGTGAAAGAGCGAGGCGGGGGCCCTCGCAGCCAGAGGCTCGGGTTGGTCTCGTGGCCGACGCGTGTCTGGGAACTCAATGCTCGGATTTCACATGGGCGGGATCATGCTTATTGCGCGGGCAGTCCCAAATCCGATGGAACAGGGTCTCCTCTGGGCCCCCGGGTCTCGGGCACTCCAATGACACTAAATACCCCCGCTCGCGCGGCCTCTGATGAGGCCAGTGGCCTCCAGCAGCAACAGTGACCACTTGGCCAATCTGATCGAATGCCTCCCGTTTCAGGAGACGCTGGAGCTGGGGGCGGATGGCCGACGCGTCAGCACCTGAGACCAGGTCATCCCCATGCTCATGTTTTGCAACCTGCTGCCGCTGCTGGGCTTTAAGATCCTCAGCAAAATCGCTGACCAACTCCGCTATGTCGAAATCGTCTGCGACACGGTCAGCGGTAATGTCAGGAAGCTGCCAGGTTTCAAACGTGTCTGGCTCGATAGGCCTACGCCATTCCGTAGTGGAAATCGGCCGCCAACCCCCGTCTTTAAGGGTGGCGATCGCAGCCCCTATAGGCCCTCGGACTTCCCGCCGCCGAAACTTGGGGTCGTGCCCGAGACGTGCGGCCACCGCTGGCCAGGCTTTCGCTATCCGAGGGTGGTGGGAGG